GAAAATAGCAGACATGGAATATCCCAAATTCTGGAAGTTTCTAGGTGGTTCCACAGTAGATGAGATTCTTACCCAGAGGCAAAAGAAGAACTGAGGAGCCTGACCCTCTCTTGGGACACTGACTGGCCATGCAGGATCATGAGGCTTTGATGGAGTCTGCAGAGGGGCTCCCCTTCGAAAGCCCATCCAGAGGGATCACTGTTGCAGAAAGTCTCTCTCATTACAGTGGCATCAGGCAAAGCTACCGCTGGGATGTGAGCATTATTTAAAAAAAAAAAAAAGTGATGAATGACCAAGGGATAAAGGAGGCGCTAAAAGAAGCAGTCACCAAAGACACTATGGGAGCCGCAGGAATGATGAAAGTGGGAGTCACCAAATGAAGTTGTTGTGCCAGTTACTGTGTATTGGCACTGCTGTCCATTTCCAACCTCCTCTGTCATTTTCCCTGTGTCACAGGGAAGGAAGATTAAAACTGCATTTCCCAGTCTCCTTTGTAGATACAGTTCTGGGTGCATTTTAGATTCAGTTAACAAGATCCACTTACATTAGATTTGGAAGGTGAAAGACTTCTGGGGGTCCCAGGGGTTGAGTGACCACCAGCAGAGGTGAGTGTTTGTGGCAGATGGACTCCGTATGATATGGTCTGGTACCAGTTTGGGAGTTGTGGGGATGACACCGATGGTAATGGCAGTTGCAGTTTCTTGATTTCTGGGTTGTAGGTAGCAGTGTGACTTCAAAGTCAAATCTTAAATGGCAGCTTCTAGTTGCTGCACCTCCAGCCTTTCTGGTGATTTTGCAAGCACCTAATTCTCTGTATTAACTCTTTTTTTTCTTGTAATACCTAGAGTGGTAAGGCAGACTGGCTGGCTGCTCAGTGACCCCTTTTCTTTTCTCCTGTGTACCCATTAGACTCTGTGTTTCCCAGCCTCCCTTGCAACTAGGTATGGCCCTATGCTAATAGATTGTGAGCGAGAATGTTGGACACTGGTTTCAGAATGGACCTAAACCAGCCTCTCACGTAAGATCCTTCATGTTCTTTTCCCTTCTAGCTGCTTGATGCAAATGAGCACAGTGACCTTGGAAGCTATATGTGGAGATGGAGGAGACACAAGGTGGAATGAGCCTGGGTCCCTGAATCACTGCTTGGAAGAGAGTCACCTTGGAAGAGAAGCTCTCTCCCATCATGGTGGCACCAGACAAAGTCACAAGTGGGATGTGTGAGTGGGGAAGGAAGGTGCTGGGAATGAGGGAGATGTTAAAAGAAGCAAAAACCAAGGACAAAATGTGGAAAGCAGTGGTCACTGAAGTGAGAGAGAGAAAACCTGCTGTTGTGCTAAGCCACTGAGATGGTGAGGTGTATCTAATATAGCAGTTAGTGTACTCCAGTTGAAAGAAGGTATTTCTGTTCTGACACTGAACCCTGACTGAAAACGCAGCCACCAAGATGAAAGACAGAGTAGATCATGGGTAATAGCTACATAAAAATATTATTGGTCACAACCAAAAAGAAAACATGAGTTGGCAGAATCCAACTAAAAAGAAAAGAGACTTGGTAATTATATGAGGTAATGGATGTGTTATTGAGCTTAACTGTGGCAATCATTCCACAATGTATACATATATCAAGGCATCACATTGTATACTTTGAAAACATGCCATTTTTGTTTGTCCATTTTACCTCAATAAAGCTAGGGGGGAAAAGAGGAGATTTGAGAGACTTGGAGTCACTATAAATTTCCGAGGTGGAGGTACAGAAATCAAATTCCCTTGGTGGCATATAAACCCTGGACACAGTCCATCATTTCATCCCATCGTCTGCCACCCTCCACATACACTGAGCTCATCCACTGAGCTTCCAAACAGTTGGAAGTTCTCACACTTCCAACACTGTAGGTCTTTCTTGAACAGTCCCAAAGTGGCTGAGGTCTGAAAAACCATCCTCACAGTGGAACTCCTGGTTCTAAGAGGTCAAGGTGTAGCACCCAAGAAGAAGCCTCCCCTTTGGACAGATGGAAGGCCATCTTTCTCCACAATGAACCTTGATTCCGAGGGCTGTTCCCCCGAATGAATTCCAGGAACAGATGCAGATCTCAGAGACAAGTGGGCGCATCCGAGCTACAGATGTGGGCCCTGGCAACCGAACTGACAATTCAAATAGCATCTCACACCAATGAGCCAGGCCAGCTGGTCCATTCCTCTGGCTAAGAGTATGCCTTAGAAATGTGCCTGCCTTTTAATTTCTGATGTGTCACAATTTACCCTTTTGTTGTTCCGGAACATTCTGGAGCACAGGAGGCTAATCACCCTTCATGGTGTGACATCTGTTTGCGATGACCGAAGGCTCAGACCCAGAACCTCCCTACGTCATCCTGAAGGCAGCCACACAGCCACAGGATGACAGAAGATGAGGCTTTCCCTTTCAGTGGTTCACAATCAGGAAGAGGAAAAAAACACACTGCTAAGGTCAGTGATATAAACAAATCCTAAAAGGTAAATATATTTTACTAAAAGTGGAATACAAAATAAGTACCTTTTCTGAAAAGACTGATGCTCTTGTTGGTGACAGAAAAGCAAGTAGGAAGGCATATGCACTTGTTTGAGTCTTATCCACAGGGCTTGATGAAAGTCAGGCTTCATTTAGGCTGTCAGTGGCCCAAAAGAAATGGGAAACAGGTTCAATTCTGCTGCTCACATTGGTCTGTGTTTAGGAGTCAAAGCATAGAAAACGTCAGCTCTTGAGGATCAATCTTGGAATTGAGGTCAAAGAGAGAATGTTCCAGCCTTTGGAACTCTTTTGTGCCAAAATGGCACCTGTTTCAAAGAGTCACGAGTTGCAAGAACTATTACAGGGAAATATGTAAACTCCAATCCCAATTAGTTTTACATCTTGTCAACCCAGTGACTACTCTGAACCTAAAATTCAAAATGAGAACTGGGGATAAAAACTCTTTGTGAAGGGCGGAGCATGTGCCAAGGACTTTGCTAGATACTTTATATACTTAATATCGTTTAATTCACCCAACAGGACTCTGAGGTAAGTGGTTTTATCCCACTTGACAGAAAAAGACATTGAGTCTCAGAAAAGTTAAGGCACCTGCCCAAAACCATGCCACATGTAAGCAGGAGAATCAAGAGTCAAATCCGGTTTTGCGTGATTCTGAATCCTGCGCTCATAACCACGCTGTGCATTCATTTGCATCAGGACTCACTTGGGTAGGGAGGCTTGCGACACAGGGGCAGAGACAGGAGAACAAACCTCAAACAAGGATGGTAACGAGGAAGGCTTCATGCTTTTGGAGTGCTGCCAGGCAGGTTGGATCGATGCCTAGAGCTGGACCCTTCCATGGCCACTCCCGGCCACTAGGGAACACTTACAAGGGCAGTAGGTCACCACAGCTCTCCACGATCACCTAGCCAACCCCAAGAAAGATGATAAAAAAAATTCAGGGATCCCCAAGAGCACTGTAAATGCCCAGTTACCCTATGGCGTAATTTTTAACCCACTAGTTCTCTTTTTTGAGGAAGCCAGACTCAAAAAGCTACACACAACATATATATATAAAATTCCATGTCCATGATGTTCCAGAAAAAGCAAAACTATAGGTATGGAAAACAAATCAGTAGTGGCCAGAGGCTGGAGAGTAGGGATAGGCGTTCACTACAAAAGGACATAAGAGAACTTTTTAGGGAGGATGAGAATGTTGTATTTCCTAATTGTGATATCCTTTACATGACTATACATTTGTCAAAATGCATTGAATTGTACACTTAAAATTGGTCAATTTTACCACCTGTAAATTATGCCTTGTGTAATTTATATTTGTATGTGCAATTTATTTTTATATTTATGTGTATAATTTATATTTATAATATAAATGCATATGTAACAAGTATATATATATATAAATTTCAAACAGGCACTGATGAATCTTGAGCTAAAATTTCCATCTCTTGACTGCATTGCAGTAAACCCAGGAGCCTGAATTCCTCAGCTACTCAGCTTTCCCAGTGGGGAGATTTCCTGCAGGCAGCCACTGTAGGCTGATAATACCCCATGTCCAGTGGGAAGGAGTTTCGGAAGTGAATTTTTTCAGGCAAATGCTTCCGTAGCAGTTCAAATAAGAAGCTGATCACTAGGGTTACCTTGGCTCCCTGCCTCCTCTCCTGAATGTTCAGAGGTCATACTGTGTACTTGGTGGAAACATTCATCTGGAAAATTGCCTAGAGCCAGATTAAATATAACATCACTGTTCTTAACTTATATCTCACATGATGTACATGTCTTTATCTTCATATCTTGTTGCACTTTGAAGGCCATACCTGTCTCTGCACTCAGCCCTGAAAAAGACAGGGAAAAGTCTTGACAAAAATACTAAATATTGTAGCTGCCACCTGGCTCAAATAGCTTGACGTGGATTAAAAATGAGCATTTCAGTAAGACTGACTACATTAGCCTCGTCTATCTGTCCCTCCAACTCTAGGTCACCTTCCCCCTATACATTCTCTTTGGTAAAGGTGCTTCTCTTCCTGATATGGCCCCTCTGCTTTCTGCCCAAGACCTCCTGTTTGGGGATGATCCAAAGGCTTGTGGCCCATGTTAATAGCTCAGTTGGAAAAGGAACATACGCCACATAAATATAGTCTAGCATTGGAAATAAATAATCAGATCAGTCATGCAAAGTAATAAGTACATAAGGTCATATCCCAAAAGATAATAGGGCAGTCTCGTACAATAAAAGCTGCCAGAAAGAATGGATTTTAAAGGGATAGGAAAACTAAAAAGCCAGCCCGACTTTGGACTCTTTTAAAAGTTATTGATATTATCTGCTATTAGGCATGTGATCTCCTGGCCACTGGTGTTTGTGGGGTGGGGGGTGCCTCACAGCAAGATGTGAACTACTCTGTTATAAGGTTTTGGGGTTTTTTTAGTTCAAAAGTAAATAAAACAAAAGATGACTTTTTTTAAAGCAAATTTTAATCATTCGTTAAAAGGGGAGGAGTAAAGGATTCTGGGAGCCAGTCTTACACACTAGGATTTGACCATGAAAGCAAAATAGACCAGCACCAGATGATAAAGCCATCTAAACAGAAGCACACACCCCTGCAAGGTTTTCAGCTACTGCACTGATTTACTAGATACTTTCAATGGCTTTTCTACATCTCTTCCTAGAAAAAAAATAAATTTTCACTTTCTGACAAGTTCCAGACTTAAACAAAGACAAAAATTACATGAAACAATTGATATGATTTAATACAAGTCTCACATATGCTCCAAGGTCTTTATTATATAACCAGAAGTGTCATCATTTTATCACTGCCATCTGATTTTCTTATAGTCTTAGAACCATGTAAATAAAAGTTCATGATGAGATAAAAGAAAATGAATTTTTTAATCTTATATTTGTTCCATAGAAAACTAGTTAATTTTTTCTTAAAGCAAGCGGTAGAAAGGGGGTAGGGGGAATTGGTTGATAAGTCTGATTCTAATCTTCTGAGCTGCCTTTGGAATGAAGTTATGAGGTAGAGGGTTCTACTGAGTTTCTAATGAAGGCGAAAATGAAAGAAAAGAAAGAAAATCAGGTGCCTCATCTGCAGATCCTTCTGGGATTTATTTGCAGTGTACAACTTAATGCATAAAAGGGCCTTTCTCCTGAAAACGCGGAGCATTTTACAGATATAATATAAGTACGCCAAATTTACTCATGTGCTATGTATAAAGCATCATTCCAGGAGCTGGTAAGAAAAACAAAGCTGGAGATTTGGTCCCTCAAGGTGGTCCAGATATTAATCTGACTAATTAGGCCCCAGATTCCTTCCAGCATGGAAGAGCTTGCAGGGTTATGGAATTGAGGACCAGTCATTGAGCAATCTCTCTTGTGCAAAGAATCCCCAGAAGCCATACTAAGTTCTCTTAAATTCCTTAATTTCCAGATGTCACATTACTGTAGGCTTCATTGAACCCATAATGTCCCTAAGACCCCTGACGATCCCACACTGGAAAGACCTTGTTTCAGTTGAGAAATACATCCCAAGAGGCAGATGGCTCCTGAGAGAACTCATTAAATCAGGGCAAATATCCTAGGTCTCTAGCATGGTAGAACTATGCACCTAAATATTGCTACTCAACAAACACACTTTTAGATTTCCCTGCAGATATCTAAATAAGGAGAGAAGACTATTTTTTTCAACAAACATTTTCTTTCTCTTTCACTCTAATGCCTAAACAGCTTACTGGGGTTCCGGCAGGAAGATCAGATCATAATTCAAAAGGTAACCGTCATTATAGACATAAAGTTTCTGGTCAAAAGGATGGTAGTTAATGCTCTGCACGTTTTCTTGCATCTTATGTATTGGAATGTCTAGCTTGCCCTCTTTCTCTGTGTTTGTGTCATAGTAGTAAAAAATCTCTTCTGTTTTGGTGTTCAGAGTACGGGTGGCATACAGAACCCCACATACCATGAAGGCATTAGAAGCAGATGGTTTATACTGCTTGGTGTACCAAGTGTCTAGCACCTCAAGTGTGGTGTCATTGAGTTTACTAATCACCATGTTACCAGTGCTGGCTTCAGTTGAATAAATCACCCACAACCCATTCTCATCCACAGCCAAGTCAATATCTTGCCAAGCAACATTAGCATATGAAAAACGGTTATTATAGGCAGCATTAGGGAGAGTTTTAGTCACAGCAACCTTGTTGGTGGTCAGGTTAATTTTGGCAATGTTCGCGCTGTCATACCAGTTCACATACATGTTGTTGTTGTAAACTGCTGTACCACCACCTTGACCATAGGTAATCCGATTTTGTCTAGCATTTGCATACAATAGCAAGTCATCCAGTGTGTCATGGAGTCTGTAATATTCCAACAGTTTCGCATCTGTATTCAATGGTGCCACCCAATACAACCCATTTCCTGGATCCTGGGGAGAGTAATCCCGACCCCAGGCACCATACTTGTAAGAAAATCCTCTCCAGTTGAGTTGAACCATAGCCGGTCTGCTGATGTTCACCACTCCACCGTGACCACAGCTCCCTATACAAACAAGAAAATAAAAGGGCTTTCTTAGAGAAAATGAATGACAGGACACAAATAGTTTAATATCCTAAGAACCAAAGGAACCATAAATATTTTTCTCCTGTCAAGGTTTAATGACAGCAGCGGTTCTGATGGGGAAGAGCCAAAACCTCTGCCGTCAGCTCTACGGAGAGCTACCCTCTGCTTCCATGGATGGGCTTTCAATCTGGAAAATGGGGGTAATGAAACTGCCAAGAATCACATTTTAAAAGTTTGGAGGCCCACAGAGAGGAAAGAGGGACTTGGTGAATCTAATGTATTTTCAGCTACCAGAAAGCATTTTGCAAATATTACCTTGTTACATTTCTCTCATAAAAAATCAAGAAAGCAAGATGATTCCAGAATCCTGCTCTATTTCCATAAATCCGAAAGGTGCTATTCACCAGGGTCAACCCCAGGGTGAATTGCGATGAAGGATAAGATTGTCCTGGGCAAGTCTTTTGTCCTACCTCATTCTGCCCTTTCCTGGGACCCCAAGCGCACAGCCGCACCAGGTACCAATCCTGCTATCAGCCATTCTCAGCAGAGGAAATTTTAAATATAGTATTGTATAGATCCAAAAAGATGGTGGATCTATGGTGGGATTTTAGCCTTGAGAAGCCATGAAGCTATTTTTGGGCAGCGCTGCCTGCTCTGTGCCCAGTGCTTAGCCCATCACATAAATCCCATGGTGACCGTCCCACTGCAGAGTTATGAGGTGAGTCCTGCTGTTCATAACCCATATGCTGCAGTGCCATAGAATGACAGGCAAGTATTTCATCCTTCCCATTCTGACACTGTCATTGTCACAATGTGTACAATCAAGTGGGACCAGATCCACTGGTCCATTGACTCTGCATTCCCTGAAACACTTGGGTAAATGACTCAGGCCGGTCAATGGGCCCTTCACATTGCACTACCTCTGAAACGTCTGCCAACCCAAAGCATTTATGAGCTAGAAAAAATAAAATAAAATTCTGCCAATATTTTTATAATAACTATCCAAAGAGTGAACACACATTTTCTGGGATCTTAATAAATACTCTTTCAAAAACTGGTGAGATAGTTTATTGGATAACAAAGAAAATCCAACATCAAGTACATTTGTGGTTATTTTCCCTTATCCTGCTGCTTAGAGCAAAGCAGATGAGATGAGGAAGGAGCAGAACATGAATTGCTGGATCTGGTGTCAAATGCTTGGCAGGAATCAAAGAGCCATAAAGACACACGAGGTGAGCTGGAGCCAAAAGCAGAGCTCCAAAGGGTTGCCTGAGATTAACACTGTGTGGGGTAAGAGGGGCAAAGCTTTAGTCTCTGAGTCTCTGCTGTGTCCAGCATGGAAAGACCCATTGCTTTTCATGCTAAACACTTCCCCTCTCCACCCTCCTCACTCAAGGACTGCTCAAAGGTGAAACCATTACTAGAAATTCTGTTTTTATTTTTCCAATCTGCCAGGGCTTTTTGGCCCCAGAATTAAATACATGCTTCTTAAATGCTCTCATAAATCCTCAGTTGGTGAGAAAGCCAGCCAACCATACAACAGGTAGAGAAATCAAACCACTCTATACCCAACCTCAAATAATTTTGCATATCATTAAGCAGAACACAGTCACGGGTTTATTTTAATAATGCATGTGTCATTTCATAAATAAAAAAGCAACGTGTGTTCAGCCAAGAGACTGCTCTCCACTAAAAAAATAATAAATAAAATTATAAATTATTATTTCTTCTGCTAAAAGTGATCTCTCAGATGAATGCTTGTTTGCTTTTGTTTATGAAACAATGCATGAATTATTAAAATGAAGTTAGCAGTGTGTTCAGTTTAATGATAACAAAAACTGTTCAAGTTTCCTTATGCTACAAACTGGATTTTCTAGCTAAAATATCTTCCTGAAAATTTATTTATTCAACTACACTTCACTCTGAGGAAAGTCACTTTTTTTTTTCCTTCAGATTAGAAGACTTAGGATGGTTTGCTTCATTTGAATCTTGCCTTTCTGGAAAGGAAATATTCCAAACCAACAGCAACAAAATATTTAAGGAAAATTTATGATGCATATAACTTATTCCAGCATTTTCATGAGGTTAAAGATAAACTATTCTGTCCCTAGATGTAGAAATCTTTAGATATGAAGGAACCAAAATAAACTTCTCAAAAATTACTATCATTACTACTATTATATTATGCTAATAGTACTATTACTATCATTAATAATTATATAGTAATATTATATAATATTAATAATAATGGCTCATTTCATAAGTTGACCAGAAAATGAAAATTGCACCCAGTATAAATATTGAAATTGTATGAAACTCAAATTTCTATTCCTCACCTCCCAACCACTCCTAAACACTCTCCTGTTCATTTGTTATCCTCCCTTTATCCTCTATCCCCTTTGGGCCATTTTTAGGGCCCAGGCTATGGTTGAAAGGAAGTGGAAATAGGGACAAGAACTCAGCATTGTTGCCAATACTACAGATGTGGCCATAACAGTGGCAGACCAGGGAAAAGGCTATGGCGGACCTCCCCAACTCCGGGCAGCAAACTGAAATTGACAGCCAGCCCAGTGCCCTTAGGGTCCCCATCCCCCACCCCATCTTCGCTGAGCTTCTCCCCACCCTCCCTTGTCTCACTCCCCTTCTTATCCCCTTCCTTCATTTCAAGGTCTTAGACACACTTCATTTCCCTCCTACGCTTCCCATCCCACCTTTACCCTGGTCCTTGGGCAACAACCCATTGCCCAACCATGATACAAGAATTGTGAAAGACCAATGAATCATTTTGGATATTCTGGTGGAAGAGAACACAGCACAGAACTGTCACTAGCAAGATTACCCTTTTAGCTACTCCACAGGCAAAGAAGCAAAAATAATTTGGTGTTAATCAGGTAGGAGAGTTGTTGGAACTTTCTTGTACCTCCAGAAATCACAGGTGCACCTCTCTGTCAGAGCATCTATGGAAGACAGCCTGGTGCGGTGAATATATCACCAGATGGATTCCCATTCAAATCCTGACTCCAGTACTTACTGTGTATCCTTGAGCAAGTACTTAACCTTCTGAGCCTTGGTTTCCTCATGTTAAAAGAAAAATAGTAATACCCTCTCTACAAGACTATTAGGAAGAATACAGAGAAGGCATGCAAATATAACTCAATGCATGGTAATTATCATCATTACAATCGCATCATGTTACAACCGGAGGATTACATGGCTGTCTCCTTTCCTGGATAGTGGCTTCTGGAGGTTTCTTTACCCATCCTAGTAACCCCCAGTACCCAGAACAGGGCCAGCCACACAATGGTACCAAATTATGTTTGCAGAATAAAGAAATGAAAGATTAATCAAAGCACCTAACTTCAGCTTAACCTTATTTATAAAACACTAGCCCTCCATCCTGCTACATATTTGATTTTTCAAAGGGCCTGGTTTTCACTCCACAGAACATGATAGGAGGAACCCTCTACACAAATGTAGCCTTGGTTGGCAATCTCTTCATCGCGCAGTTCATTAGATAGTATCATGGTTTTCTGAAAAGATTTAAGGAAGCCCTAATCGTGAGACTTTAAAATATTCTAACTTGGCTTTTTAAAAGTATCATGATTAGTAGCATTTTTTTAAAGCCAATAATTATATGCCTGCAGAGGAAAATTAATCTTGGATCTATTAATGTACTATCTCACCTGGGCAACTGAACTTTGTTTGAGCCAAGAGAAGAATATGATTGACTTTTAAGAATGAGGCAATTAAAATGATCATAATTATAAAATGATTAAGACTAAATTGACTGTGAAGCATTGGATATATGCTACTCAACACTCTGCTCTTCTCCAGGCTTGGGATTTTAGCAGGTCACCCCATGTCTTTCATACCCCATTCAATCACCAACCACTTGCTGAGTGCCCACTGTGTGCCAGCACAGAGCCTAGCCAGCATCCCCAAGCAAAACAGTGATTGACCCCCAAGCATTCCTGTCACATGTGGTCTATATGCAGGCAGCTATATTCAGAGGAAAAAAACAGAGAGAGACTAAAGTTTTAAGGGGAAAAAGTTAATGAGTAGAAGGTCAATTATTTTAGATGAGGAAGTTCTATGAAATGAAGCAGAAAAGGAAGTTATTTGCAGCAAAAACCAAATCTAAACCGTGTTTTATGCAACCTGAAATACATGTTCTTGTTTGAAGTTCAAGCTGACTACAGGCTTAGCAAACTGTAGCTGCAATGAAGGGGGCCCAGAAAGCACAGAATTACTTTAGCGCTGAGACTTGCATATTAGTCTTTTTTTGTTCTGTGCAACTCTGCAGTGAAAAAAGCAGACAGGCCAGATTTTAAAGTCCCATAATAGTGAGTAACTTTAATTAAAGTCTCCACAGGCTCACAACTTTGCGGTGCCTGGGGATTTTCCAATTCTGCATTATCAACCAATCCAAACAGAAAGAGAGCAAGTGAAAGAAATTGATTTAAAAACATGACCAAAAGTCAGTTTAATATAAACATCATAAATATAATATGAACAAAGCTGGCGGAGAGCCAGGTGGCTTGGCAGAGATTCAGGTACAGCCAAGGTTGTGGGAAAGTGAGTGGAAATCTGGGTCCAATTTGCTTAAACAACACAGCTGAGCAGGGATGGATCACAAAAGCCTAAGTGTGAGGGCCTAGGGGAAAGTTCTGCAAAAAACAATTTAACAAAAAAAATCCAACAGACTCACTTGCTTTGCCCCCTAGATGCTAAGCAAGTGTTTTCTCCCCCACTCTCATCCCTGGGTTACTGCCGCCCAGCACTGCAGGTCCGGAGCTGACCAGGAGAGAAGACCCTTGCATCGCGGCCTCAGCCCTGTCGCTAACTGTTTGTGTGGCCTCAGGAAAAGCAGCATCCTGGCCACCGAGTCCCCTCCTCTGAGACACCATGGGGCTAGATCAGATGGCCCTGAATGTTAATCACCTCCCACTCTACAATGTCCTCATTCTAAGGGATACATAGAAAATTGTGCCAGAAAAATCTGTTCCCTGAAGAAGATTTTCTTGAGGCGAGGGGTCATTCAGGTATTATCAGTTGTCACAGCTTCCTCTCCTGCCTCCGTGAGCCCATGTGGCCCAGCAGATGCAGTTCACGTTGCTTACACGTGTCTATACCACTGATCCCAGACCAAAGGTAGTCTGAGTTTAGTACAGAGGACAGACAGACTGTGGTCTGTGCTCTAAACCTGCCCTGTATGTCACACTAGGACAGAGTCCCAATTGTAGAGGGAGGGGGAAGAATCCCCTAAGCAAAAGCAAGAGGCTTCTACCTATGGCCATATCTGACTGAAGCCTTAAAGAAACCAGCTGTATGTATGGACAAGGATCCAGAAAGGCACAGCCTAAAAGGAAACAGGAGTGAGGATTCGAATTAATTAAAATAAAAAGGCTGTATGATTTGATGAAAAGATACAGTTCCCATTCAGGTTGAGATGCTCAGGACCTGCAGAGAAAAGGTCCCCATGACCTCAATGTCTCCAAAGAACGGGGCTGAATGCTGCGCTGAGAGGCTGCCTTTAGTTCACCTGGAGGGAAGAACTGCAGGGCACAAGGATCTGGCGCCGCTGTTGTTCACAGCAAGGTTTTCACTTCAATTATCATCACTACTAATAGCATCTATTGCCCGCGTATGAGTGCCGAATACACAGCTCTGAGCTTCCCAAGCGTTGGTTCATCCCCACAGCAACCCCGCAAGGCAGGTACTGTTATTCTCCCACTTTACAAATGAGAAGATTAAGGATCTTTTTGCTTCAGCTGAATAGCCAGGAAGTCTTTGGGATTCTAAAGCTACGTATGCGCTGCAACCCTATGTTCTACGGCCACCAGTCACAGGCGTGTTTACAGGTCACCCACCTCTGTGCTGTACTTAAGCCCAAGGAGGATTCATTAGAGAGTGACATGTCATCCCTACCCTCCAGGAACTCAAAGACCCAAAGGGACAGGAAGACACACCCACAAGAACCACGATATGTGGGGGCCATTCCTTCAATCCTTAAGGAATCCCGGGACACACAACATAGCAGATGCTCAACATGCATTTCATGTTGAGAACAAAAGAAAATTAAAATTAAAGAGGAGAAAAGAGAGAGGGAAGGAGAGAGGGAGGGCAGGAGTATTCAGGGCATAAACCCAGTTGATCAGATAAGTGAGCTAATTAGGCCTTATAATTCACAGGAAAGTGGATGCCACACATACATTCCAGAGGCTTTCCCCCAGGGCCCCCATAGCTCTTCCATCACCATAAAGGTTTTTTTTCCTGTTACTAAATGTGAAGGGAATACATGTAACTTGTGGGTTTTGTTCAAATCAACTCATTGTGTGTGCTCTTCCTCTGTCAGCCCCAGAATAGGAGAGTATGCAGAATTACTTGGGGTGGGGAGGAGATTTCAAACACGGAAAGGTAAACCCAGATCTGCAAGAATCCCATCCTTCTCGCTTCATCATTGCAATCCCAAATCCCTTGCCCACCGCACTCACGCCTCCTTATGGGGCCTGGCTCAAGTGGTAAAAATGTGGCACTTACCAGGAGAGGGAGGAGGGGCAGTAGGCGACCCTTGGCCTTTGGAGTCCTCACACTCCTTCAGCTTTTTCTTTAGCGCCTCAATTTCTCGGCGAATGGCAAGGACATTGTTTTTGTCTAGCAACTCAAGCTTCTCTACCAGGAGACTCATATTCCTTATCTAAGGAAATAGAAATTCAGAGTGGCTTTATATTATTGTGCAATTTCTTTCATAAACATTCCAGGGCTCCATTTGTCATTTAGTGAAACATTGCTAGGGAACACACCAGAGACTCTTCTGAATGGTTTCATTTGGAAGAATACATTTCATGGTTTAGCGTGAGCGCCTGTCAGATCTCGGGCAGATGTGTGTGACAAGAAGAAAATGGCAAAGATTTTAACAGCTTTAATAATCGAGCACAGCCTCATTCTAAGCATCCACAAATGCCCATTAAAGTCCATTTCTAATAACCTTCCCCTATAAACTCGTGTTTACTCATGTGGGATTATAATTAAGTTTCTAATGAATGGTGAGAGTCAGAGAAAACTTAAATTCTAAAATATGTAACCAGAATTCTCTATTATAGCCCATGTCATGACTGTGCTAGTAAATTCTTGTTGATATAAATTACCCAACCATAACATGAATGTGATGGCCTTTATCCATAGATTTTAAAAGGCTTCACTAAAACACACTCACAGGAAATTTCCTAAAGGGGGTTGCCAGTATGTGGAGAGGGATTCCAAGAGGGATCAAGGATTCAAAAGGAGAAACAGACCTTTTGCAATCAGGTAAATTGTGGATTTCTAGTCCTATGAGGATATATTCAGAGCAGAGAAGACACCTGATCTAGCTTGGCCATGGACAGTTGTTTGAATTCATGTCACCTCATCACCTCCTTTCCAGAGAAATTCAAAGTTCATTTGGTTCTGGGACAGGATTCTGACCATTAGCCAACACCTGTCCCTAAGTCAATATATTCCAAATGTACTTAACTTACTATTCAAAGACAGGCATTCATCCAAAACAGAACATGGGATATGCCACATGACCATGACAGAGTACAGAATTAGAAGTCAGAAGAGAGAGATTCACATCCCAGTCCCAGCACTTGCTTATGGTCACTGAAGAGAATTGATTGGTAATATACTAAGAAGTGAGTTCACTCCTTACCTCCACTTCCAGCTGGTTAACAATTTCTGAGCTTCCAACAAAACTCCCCTTCAGCTCAATGATCAATTTCTCCATCTCCTTCACTTCCAACTTGATCAGCTCAAAGTCCAGTTCAGTGTAAGAAATGGTATCCTTCTCCATGATCTCAATACGGACAGTTAGGTTTAAGAGTTTCTTTTCATACACACTGATTAATTGGACGTATTCCTTCACCTGAAAGGGAATCAAAAAGCTCAAGTCAGTTCCCAGAATGATGTCGCACCAGTTTCCTCTAGCCCTTGAGGACCATTTGATTCCTGACAATCATTGTTTTTTGTAAAGAGACGGATCAAAAATATATTTAACTAGATTTTTAAAAATCTATCCAAATACAAGTTAAAAAGAACTTACTACAATTGGGGGGAAGTGGATTTGGCACTTACCTACACTAAAAATAAATTTTCTTCAGAATCATCATTCACAAGTATATTTTAATCTCCATTTTAACTTTTGAAGACATTAGTTCCCCAAACTAAACTGGTTTGAATCAGAGCCCCTTGCTGTCCCTCCTTCCTCAATGCACATACTCTAGATCAGGGTTTCTCAACCTCAACAAGACTGGTATTTTGGGCTGAATTGTTACTCTTGTGGGACTGTGCTGTGGACTGTAGGATATTAACAAGCATCCCTGGCCTCTAGATGAAAATCCCAACCCAATTGTGACAACCCAAAATGTCTCTGGACATTGCTAAATGTTTCCTGGGGACAGAATCACCACCGCCACCACCACTCTCCCTCCATTTAGAACCACTGCTCTAAATCTAAGCATTTTCTAGAAGAGGGAGAAATGCACTAATTAGAATTCCTTCTTTGATCACCATGTGCAATGCGTTTGAGCCCCTCTACCTTTTACAAGTGGCATAAAGACCCAACCTACCACACAATATGTGAGTGTATGTGCCCTGTGAAGTGTACATTTCATTAAGTGCGCCAACATTTATTCCAAGAACTGATTATTGCAATCAGACCTTTAAATTACACATTTGTTGCATATATTTGAATGTCTGATCATTAAGTTAAAATACTTCCAAAAATCCCTTTGGTGGTTTAGTGTATAATTGGAATCTCCAAATGGATATTTTAATAAACACATTTGGTGGTTTTTTTCTGTATCTGATCTCTAAAGGAAATGTCATGGCTTTTTTAAGGACCTCCTCATTAAAAGTTTCTGGTTTTACATTCTTTTTAAAAATTTGAACATAAGTGATACTTTGCCCCAAACTACATTAATGTCAAGTAGCTGATCCACAGTGCCTGGATGAATTCAGAGCCATATGTTGGCCTCTAATCCTTCTAATACCAAAGGCAGCCCTAACTTCTGTCATTTTAGCCCTTCTACTTAACCCCACGGTGCAAATTAGAGTAGACTCATAGGCCACAGACCTAAAGGGCTAGGGCTTCAGGCAGAGAGGATTTTAATGAAAGTTGAAAATACAGCCCTTGGCACTGCTAATGTATCTCCTCGGGCAACTGATGCTCACTGCCATCAAATGTACCACCACTTGGAGGCCGATGGGGCTGGTGACATTTTGGTGGATAGGAGGGTTAAAATAAATATGCAGTCTCCCCTCAGTATCCAAGGGGGACTGGTTCCAGGAACACCCCTCCCCCGCCATGGATACCAACATCCACAGACGCTCAAATCCCTTATATAAAATAGCGTAGTCCTTGTATATAACCTACGCATATCCTCCTGTACACATTAGATCATTTCTAGATCACTTATGATACCTAATACAACGTAAATTCTGTGCAAATAGTTGTTAGATGATATTTTTTAATTAGTATTTTTTATTGTTGTTTTATTTTTATTGAGCTTTTTTTCTGAACATTTTCAGTGTGAGGTTGATTGAATCCACAGATGCAGAACCAAAGGAGATGGAGGGCCGACTATATATAAAACCTAACAAGTCCCCCTGAAGAGTACACATAGCTATAAGGTGGCCAGGTTTCAATTTCTAAAAAATCAGGCATAAAACTTTGCCTATGATAAAAATAAATAAATAAAGTGCCAATCCATTGCAGAAATGGAAGTCTGAGAAATGAATATGCTTGTTGGCATTTGGCTTTGCCAGCTCTTGGAACAAATGAAACACCCTCAGCTTTCCTGGAACATTTTTGGTGACACATCGCAGCTGCTGTTCTACAAAAATGAGTGATTCAACTGTCATCCCTGCTAAATAAAATGTGGCTCTCCCAGATTCTCACAGAAAACCAAAGCATAATCTGGAGTTTGCAACCTATGAGCATGTGTGGTGTGCCTGCCCTAGTTCAGCTGCAAAATGAAGAGACCCTAAAGATCTATTTGGGAAAAATTGTTGAGGCTCTTTCAGCTGACATTTCAAGAAAGCTCAGTGGTGATATTCAGGAAAACTGGAATCATCCATGAGTTACAGAAGATGGGAAAGAATTTGAGGATGGGCCAGAAAGACTTCACAGTGTGAGCTTTACTAGTTTAAGCAAATTATTAATATAAACCTTTTCCATGTGTGTATCTGTATCATCAAGTTGGTGTGACAGTTCTGAGAACACGCCAGCTCTTCCTGGGAGGTGTGGTCTCAGTACAGGCAGCCTTGCTTGCCCAGGGACATGTCTAGCACTTAGTGCATTCCTCCTCTTCTAGAAAATGCAGTCACTCACCACAAAACAACCTTTGTTTTTTTGAGACAGAGTCTTGCTCTGTCACCCAGGCTAGAGTGCCGTGGTGTCAGCCTAGCTCACGGCAACCTCAAACTCCTGGGCTCAAGCGATCCTTCTGCTTCAGCCTCCCCAGTAGCGAGGACAACAGGGGCTCGCCACCGCACCAGGCTAATTGTTTCTAATTTTAGTGGGGATGGGGTCTTGCTCTTGCTCAGGCTGGTCTTAAACTCCTGAGCTCAAGCAATCCTCCCACCTCGGCCTCCCAGAGTGCTAGGATTACAGGCGTCAGCCACCGCACCCGGCCACAAAACGACATTTTAATCAATGACAGACCACATATGCTACAATGGTCCCACAAGATTATAATACCATATTTTTACTGTACCTTTCTTTAGGTATATAGAGATACACAAATACTTACCACTGTGTAACAATTGCCTGTGGTATTCAGTACGGTCACATGCTGTACAGGTTTGTAGCCTGGGAGCAATAGGCTATACCACAGAGCCTAGGTGTGTGGTACCCATCTGGCTGTATGTAAGTACACTGTGAACTATGATGCTTACAGTGACAAAATCGGCTAACAATGAATTTCTCAGAATGCCTCCCTCCTTCAGTCTTTAAGTGATGCAGGACTGTATTTAGATCTAGAGCAGTAGTTCTAAATGGAGGGTGGGAGTGGGGTGGTGATTTTATCCCCAGAGAACATTCAGCAATGTCTAGAGACATTTTGTTTGTCACATTTTGGGGGTGGGTGGGTGCTACCTGCTCGTAGAGGCCAGGAACACTGCTAAACATTCTAGCAAGAACATGCGTCTAGCTCTGAGGGACACATGCCTACATGACATCTTTACCTTGAAGCTCCTCATGGCTACAAGTTTGAGAGTTAGAAGGTTCATCTATGTTTGCTTTTAAACCACCAGTCTAACATTCAGAGCTTCCATTTTATTTTGTGTGTATGTACTTACTATGTTATTGATGTAGAATAAAGTTTGTTTGGGGGTTTGTTTTGCAATGGTTGTTATTGTTTCTTATAATAAATGCCATCTTATAATAAAAAAGAATATAGTGCAACTGGCTATTAAGCTAAAGATTAGTCTCGTTCATGTTTCTGCCAGTCCCTCAAAACCTGTGATCACAACTATGGCCAGGTTATTTGAAATAAGTAAATTTACTTTGCAACATATTATTATTTTCAATATATATTTTTAAAAAATAAACATATAAAGTACTTTGGAGCTGGACCATCTGGGCTCAAATCTGACTTCAGTACTTAGTAGGCCAATCACTTAATTTCTCTAAGCCTTAGTTTCCTGTAAACTAGGGGTAATGATATTGGGCTCATAAGATTATGGTAAAGATTAGAGATAATGTACATAGCAAATGGAGACCCTATAAATTATAGAAATTAATAAACACTGATTTCAGTGTTTTTCAATCTGACCTTTTAATTTACTATATTTCATTGCACAAAACATTGCTCAATCAATGTTGTTTATTTATGGGTTGCTTTAATGTCTCCCAGGCTACCTCAATCTTCTCATGCATGAAGATCTATTAGCAAAAGCATCATATTAAATAACTTGCCCCAAAGACCAAAAGCCTCCAGAGAAGGAGAAAATCCTCAGCTGTCTTTTGTGCCATCCCCTTCCTAAGTGTAGTCACAAGAGGATGTATCATAAACAACAGAAAAGTATAAAATACTTTCACTATTGTATGCAGAGGCAGCTCTCTGTCTTCTGCGTGTACTGGCAGATAATGAATCAATGTAAGGTAGTCAAAAAACCTTTGCTACTGGCCTGCCCTAAATAGGCATTTTCCCAAGCCCCCAGATAAATGATGATTTCCAAGGCAACCTAGGAACAGCTATAATAATTCACCTGGAAATTCAACAGCCTTCAGCTAAAGAGATAACTTTGGATTTGAAGGCATTACTGACCTACTGCATCTCTTCTTGAGTCTGCCCAGGAAGATGATAACAGCATAATCAAAAGGAAAGAGACCTGAATTGATGCCTAAGACCAAAATTCCCAATCTGGCTTAACCAGCCAAGAGAGGAATGATCTTGAGCAAAACCCTTTACTTTTATGAACCTCAGTTTTTCCATGACTAGAAAGGGAAGGGGACTACCTGAACTATCTGCCTTAAAGGGATGCTTGAGAGCAGAATGGAACTGGCAGCATTTGGAAAAGCACAAACAAAAGCTGCTACTATTGTTGTTATTATCACCTGTTACACCACATCGATTATATAAATCCCAGCTGGCAAGTCCATTGTTTCTTAGGCGTCAATCACAAATTTTTTTAGGACCAGCTACTAACACTTTCAGAACTAAAACTTTTCCCACCTACTCTGCGCTTCTTCCCGGCCAATTATTAACAAAGCAGATGCTACCTGCCCCCTTGCAGGATCAGAATTAAATGTCCCATTATTCAGAAACCTGGCAAGCCACATACTCTCCCTGGAGCAGCATGAGGTTTCAAACTGCCCTTCACACTGCTGCTGGCAAAGGCGACATGCAAATCAGTAGCTTCCACTATTTCAAAGCAAATGACTCTAACTGAAAAGATCTTTACCTAGGATTTTCCTCTACTTGTTATGTTTTTATGCATAACTTCTTATCTGTACTTGATTATGCTGGAATAAGGCTATGAATATTAATGGTTAGAATTTATAATTTAGCGCTGTGCCTTTTCTGCTGATTAATTCAAGGACATTTTATTTCTTAAGAAGCCAGGTTCCTGGAGTAGTCAAACACATTTTCCTGGGCACTCATTCAAACTTAGAATATTTATCTACCAATTCAGGTTGAAAGTAGGGTCTCAGCCTCACTATAATTTTTGTCTTAAAGGATAACTATGTTGAATGTTGAGGTGGCTTAGCTCAAATTTCTCAGGAAAATTTATTTTGAATCTTGTAGTAAAGCCAGAGCTCCTTGTAAATTAATGGAGTTGTACTAAATAATGTATAATGTGATTAGAGCCTAGGTTGGACTTCACCTGTGCGGAAAATAGGAGCCTTTTCTAATTGATTTTTAACTTGGCTGAAAAGGTGGAAGAGGTCAAAACTGGAATGCCAAGTCACATTCTTGCCCCGGCCAGCTCAGAGAAGGACAAACCTTTTGGGATCTCTCCCTCTGGCTGGAGAAAAGCGGTAATCAGAGGGTTCCAGCCAGAGTTTTGACCAAGGCTGAGAAACCTATTAGTCTTGATTCAAAGTCCCAGGGAAGCCTTCAATTTTGATCTAATGTTGGACACATTTAATACAATGTTCCTGCTGAGACAATAGAGGATAATCACCAAGAAGGAGAGGGAGAGAGGGAAGGAAGAGAGCAAATTGTACTAATTAAACAGGAGAGGAAAAAAGGGAAAGAGGGAGAGAGGGAAGGAGGGTAAGAGGAAGAAGGTTTTGACGGGGGTGGAAGGGGAGGAAGAGGAAAAAAAGAAGGAGAAAGCATCATCTAAAAGTAAGAGAAGACCAAAAAGAGTACAAAATAAAAGAATTAAGAAGGAAAGGGAAAGAGAGCTTAGAAGGGGTGGACGAGGGTTGGAAAATGAGGTTCCTAAAGGTAAAGGAGTCTGTTCCCCTTGAAGCCAAAGGAGTAAGAAATGGGAGGAATCAGGAATGGAACAGGAATAGAAGAAAAGGTCAAAAAGAAGGGAGACAGGCTAGAACTAAAGAGGATGGAAGAGAAGAAAGAAAAGAAAGCAAAGCTGGAGGTAGATCTAGACCAAAAGGAAGAAAAAACGACAAAACAAAATAAAAACCGCAGGTTGGGCTTTGCAGGGCGGGCTCGAGGCCTCTTCCCAACTGCATGAGTACCACAATTCTCCAGTGAGTTTTTATCCCTGGCATGAGTAATCTTGACCCCATTTTCTTCCTGTGCTCTCGTTTTCCCTGCTATAAAGAACTCTGTAGGTGTACTATGAAATAAATGCTAAAACCTCCATAGGATACAAATGTGCTGTCTTTGATACTGTGAAGAACGGTTGCTCATAAAATCCTAAGTTAAAAAAAGCTCTGTTTTGTTTGTTTGTTCTTATCAAGATATTGCTAGAAAAGAAAATGCTTACTATAGAAAGCTCTTTCTCAAGCTTCTGGGAAAGAACGTAAGCTGTGAATTCCAAGCGTTCCACTCTCTCCACGGGAAAGGTGGTGTCTGGCAGGGAAACGGAGCACTGGCAGATCCCATGGTCATCCACGGAGCCGGTGAAATTGGAAAGTGACTGTAAATAATAAGAAGTTGAACGTCAGTAATAGGCAGGAGATGGAGCTTTTTCGGCAACTGGAAAGACAGAAGTTGGTCTTTCAAAAGAATACTTACAGGCAAGCAAATGGAGTCCAATACACAAATGAATAGAATCATAGAAACAAGCTAAAACCGCGATGTTCTCACAGGTGGTGACCACACATAGCATTTAGCCACCTTTCCACCTGCTGGACTAAACTACCCTGTCGGCAGCCTTTACCGAAAGGGAGATTCTCCGTTCTTGAGGAATACTAAAGGAAATTATTACTCTCTCTATGCAAGGGAAGGGAAATGAAGAAGCAATGAGAATTCTAAGTTTGAATTTCAATTCTAGCCCTCAGTAGATGTTGAAACCCCTTTAAGTCTTTCCTGCATCTGTAAAACAGAGATAACCTGCTTCACGGGGTTGTCCTCAGTAATGGGAGCCAAGTCCCTGGCACAGGGCAGGTGATCAGTAGGTGCCACTTTCTCTTTCCTTCTGTTACTCATTTTCCTTTCCTTACCTTCACCCCAAGCCCAATCCTCTTCCTCCCAGTCGGAATGAGAGAACCGTCAAGGATGTGGCTACAGTGCAAATTCGTATCCTCTCTTCACCTGGGAAATTGTATAATTAGCATCCCTCAAAATGCAAACAAACCAGCCATTTGTTAAAAACTGAACAGTGTGTATGTTTGAACGTTTCGTGCAAAATATTTTAAATAAAATTTTCCAGCTTACCACTTGCAGAAAAGTCATTTTAAAATATTTGATGTTTCTTTAAGATATTCAGGCTCACGCTTCGGTGCTGCTGCATATTTTTAAATGACAGCCTGGAAAGATCCTATTTTTCTTTTGTCCCCTTTGAACTTCCCCAAGGGGATCCCGGCACGATTAACATTTTTTTATTACTACTATTGCCTTTCAGAGTGACTCTTGGCAGCTGACTGGCTGTGCCTTTTAATGATCTCATCTGAAGACCAACCCAAAGCTCACCTGTGGAACATCAGCCTGAAGGGACTTTTTATTAAGCTACTACAAAGACAGCAATGGTTTTCAGAATTTGAAGACACTCGAGCCATGCATCTCGAAGTTCAGGTCAGTTGGCTGCAGCTGAGGTTGTGTGTTCTGTGCATTTAATGTCTACCAAGCTGCATGACTCCTGAACTCACTGAGCCTACACACTTCTATAGTCAAGACCCATTTTATTAGTGATCTCTCAGCCAATCTAGGCTTTCACAACTAAGTTGTTTTTTTAACCTAAGCTTCTTTAAGATGAGCAGAAAGAAAAATATATATGTGTGTATCCATAAGTCTCTATATGTATACAGTCAAAATTCCTGACATTGGTCTCAATTTTCTTTTCCAATCACATCCCCACACCTGCAGGAATTGGGGAGTACAGAAGATAGACAAGCAGGTTTATGCTGAACATGGGGTAGGGGATGCAGAGTTGGATGGGGAAGGGTCTTTGTCAGGGATGAATAAAGACTGGGCAAGATATGCCAGGAGCCTGTTGGAGAGGCCAGCTTCCCTTGAAACCAGCTTTATTTCTTTCTCTAAAGATAGAAAGCCCAAGCATGCCAAGGCTTTTACAGGAAGGACCAACTTATCATGGACTTTTGAAGAAATAGCTTAGTATAGTAACTAGAAAAAAAATCTTGCATTGCATTTTTGACAAGAGGAGGTTAATTAGGTGCACAAGACAGGGTTGAACCATCCTCAGAGTTCTCTAAAAAGCTCTGCCAACTCAAGAAAGAGTGGATAACATCAAGCAGCCTCTAGACAGTCAACTAGGAACCACTGTCTAACAACTTTTAGTCTTGAAGTTCACCTGAAAGACAGGCAAATAATTATGAGCCCTACTGACAGCCATTCCATCCGTTTCTATTGAACATTCTGTGTCAACACTATGGACTCCCTGGCTTCCATCCTGCTTATCATCAGCCCGGCATGCTCAGCTGACATCAAAATGGTCCATAAGTTTGATCAGTGTCTCCCATTAGAGATATTTCTGCTCCTCGCATTCAAAGACAATGAAGCTAATGGTGATGAGTCTCTCTCTGCGGTGAATGCTCAAACTCCACATGACTATAACATGGGGGACGGGAGGCAGATGAGTGCATGTCCCCCGGCCTTTGGAAGGATATGTGATCCCACTTGTGGAGGGCAAATAGGACCCTGCAGGTCCCCCTATATGGGCAGGTTCTCATGCAGCATGTGTTCAATTAACATTTGCTGATGTCTATATTATGCCAGGCTCTGGCATTAGGGAGATGGATTAAGACCCACATGCTGCCCAGGAGTCAGGCCCGCCACCATTATGAAGGCCATAGTGGCTTTTTCCACCAGCCCAGTAGCCTGATGACAAAAGCACGCAACTCATTGTGGTTTCGACTATGCCAGTTGCCATGTGGAGTGGAGCTTTGGGCCTTTTCCTCATCTGGGAATGGAGGACCCTATAGCAGCCCCTCCTCTGGAGAGTGATATCTGAGGCCTGGAGCATACTCTGAGCACTTACAGCAGAAGGTGCTGCTCACATTTGTGATTTAAGGTTACAATCGGCTCTAATTAGCAGCCAAGTCTAAGTGCCGACAAAGATTCAAGGCATAAAATAACGGTACTTCACATTTTCAAAGTACAGAAAATCATACGTTTGGAACTTGCTCAATGACAGTTATAAAAGGGTTTTTCCACTACTTTCCAAAGAGCTCATCAAGCTGACAACCAGCCCCAGAAAATTAGGTTTATAGTGGAATTGACTCCTAGTCCGCTATTAAAAAAAAAAGTTGGAATTGTGATAACTGACTCACCAGAGGGAGATAAGTAAACTAGGAAGGAAATTAAAATCTAAGTACAATTTAACTATCATTTCGTATCTATTTTTGAATGTTTGTCTCTTTACCAGACAATAGATATTTTAGATTTCTCTATTTCTTGACCGTTATTTTAATTTCTATTGTTTCAGCTGACGATCTTAACCAAATGCTGGTTTCTGACTGTGATAAAGCTTCGTAATAAATTATTATTGTTAACCTCATTCCAAAAAATAAAAATGCTAACCAATTCTGATCATCCCCAGAAATCATTTAGTATCACGGAATAAAATTATGCCTCTGATTTCTGGCTACAAAGAATCCTTGTGCATATTCATAATTCCCAAAACTTTCTCCTCTTAAAAATGAGCAATTTTCATCTATACTCCCTGGAGATAAAGAAATCTACATATAGAGAGATGTTGATAAGAATGGACAGACTAATTTTGAGCTATATAACTTGCTAGCTTAGTGACTTTAACCCAATGAGTTTATCTTGCTAAGCCTCAGTTTTCACATCTCTAAAATGGGATCATTAATTTTACCTATGTCTTAGGGTTAAATAAGATAATATATATTCTGTACTTAATCTAGTCCTGGCATTTATTAGACACACAGTAAATATCATTGCTGCTATTTCTATCTAGGTCCTGTCCAAAACATTGTTAATCACCAAATTTTTATGCTGTATATATTCCTGATGGTGAAAATGAAAACAAACAAAAGCCTTTTCCTCCTCTTTTCCCATTCACTTTTCCATTCAGGTGCTCAGGTAAGCAGCTACCTGACCTGTGAGTAAAGATCCTAGAAGTACAGGATTAAGACATTAAGACTTCCCCACCCCAAGTCATACCTTAGCAAGGATAGACCAGGAGGTTTTGCAGAGCGGACCTCCTGCAGAAAGGCCCAGAGGTGAAGTGCATAACTGCTTCTTGTCCCCCAACCTCTCACCCCCTCCAAGCCTATTCCCATTGCTTTAAAGGAGACCAGAAGAGGACATCCCCCAAGGACTGGGCTCATTATGCCTTCTCTGTACTTAGCCTAGCTGGACCAGACCCTTTGTAATGCATGACTTTCTGGTTTTGTTTGTTTGTTGCTGCTGTTGTTTAGAGCTGAAAATGGCCCTAACGATTCCCTATAAAGAAGATTGAAAAGAGTTAACACTCCCCTGGGGAAATGTTCACTTTCCTAAAGACCAATAAGTCCTCCCCTTATTTCTGACACCAATCTCCTTTACAAACTAGGCCGAGAGAAACTGTCAGGGCTCCAACTAGAGCATCGCAGCTCTCTCTCACACTCCCTTGAGGGCCACTGTTCACCATCCGCAGGGTCCCTGCTGGGCGGCAAATCAATTGGACAAACTTTCCTGGAGCTGCTGGTAGTATCAGGGCCCCTTCCCCAAGAGTTCCCATTCCGGGCTGCAGATTAGAATCACCTGGGAAGAGGTTTTTAAAAATATCTGATTTTTACATAAAGAAATGATAAATGCATGAGGTGATGGATACCCTGGTTACCCTGATTTGATTATTGTTACACATTGTATGCCTGTATCAAAACATCTCATGTACGCCATAAATATATACAACTATTATGTACCCATAATAATTTAAAATTTAAAAAAAAATTAAATCTGATGTTTAAACATCTGTGCAGGATGTTTTTTGAAAAAGTACAGAACCCAAGAGTGTGTACTTTTAGAGTACCCCTCGCCGCCTATTCTAACATGCAGCCAGGTTTGAGCACCTCTTTAAAGCATAGATTCTTTCTCAAAAGTCCCACAGCTGGAGAAATGAGAGGTTGTCTCTCTTGCGCAAAATTTAATTATTTCACCTAGGTTTTAATTCATTTCCAGGGCGCCTAGAGTTAACAAAAGGAGTCATAAATTTTATAGAGTGCCCAGGTCTAGCCATCCATGAAATTGTATTCAGGTCCCCAAAAAGTGAGAGGAAGGGAATGAATACAGCTCACTCAGACTCTGGGGTCTCCTCACCTGGGATCGGGGAGCTTCGTTGGCCAAGAAGGTGGGGCTGGAGCTGGAGTCAAAGTCCAGGAAGGAGCTGGAGCCAGGGGTAGGGGCCAGGAATTCCAAATCCCCCGAATCCCCTGCAGCCTGGCCCATGAAAAGCAGAAGGGCTAAAAGAAAGGGGTGGCCCGGCCTCATCTTGTCCTCTGGGCAGGAGCCGCTGGCTCTGCACGGAGCCCAGGGGCTTCTTATAGAGCCTAGTGGGGATTTCCCCATGGCCAGTGTGTGGGGAAAGAGGAAGTGGCCAGGGAAGGAGTGACCCACCCAGGAGGGTCAGGGCACCCAGGAACCTGAGTCACTGCCCACACCTTGTTCCTGAGCCCCGCTCTGTGAGCTATCCCTGGATCCAGATATCTCCTGCCAAATATTAACTCAAACGTGCTCTTTGAAGCCCAATGACTGGTTTCCAACTTGGTACTTCCTTGAAAGAGGGGGGATCAGAGTAGTCCTCAAGAATGAGACAGAGTTTGGAGGCACCATTGGGGAAAAGCAACCTTCAATCCTTTACCTAGAATCTGCCGCTAGTTGTTCCCCCCGACTTTGCTGAATGCTACCTTCCAGAGAAAGTTAGGAAACTCGCCTTATAGACTGTGAGTGTCCCCTGGGAGTGTCTGCAGCTTCCCTCTTCAGTTTCTACTGTCTCTGACCTGTGCCTTGCAGTGTCTGCTTCTAGACCAAGTTCTCTCAACAACCTGTGAAGGAGAGACCCGCAAAACCAGACAGTACTGTGTATTATCGAGCGCTTGCCACTGTCTGCTTGCCGGAGGGTTGAGAAAGAACCCAGACAAACAAGGGGCCTCAGATGACCCAGTGCTGCCTCTCCCAGGCCAGGGTGCCACTGTAGACCCAGTCAAGGAGACCCCCAGGAGCAGTTTCTCTCTCCAGCAGACTATGTCTGCCCTCCCTTGCCTCGGACCCTCACGCGAGCAGGCCAGGCATTCATGATCTCAGGGTTTATTCTTCACGAAACTAAAAAATAGGATGCATGCTCCCCCTCCCAGCTCCCCTGACCCTGAGCCTCAGGATCCATTCTCCCCTCTCCAACAGTTCACACACCTTTGTGACCTCCACTTTCCTACACATGGAGTGGAAAAGGTGTTGGCCCGAATAGTAAAACCCAGCTCTGTCACACGAGTCCGTGGCCTTGCACATGTCACCGAGCCCTGCTAGGGTTGTAACAATTCCTAAATTGTTAGAAGTAAATGAAATATTATATGGGAATTTGCTTAGAAGCTGTGAAGTGCTATACAAATGTCAGCTTCTTCGTTTTTTGTTGAAATTCCTAAAGCCTGGATCAGTTTGTAAGGTTGTTGGGTTCAAAACAGGGAAAGAAGGCCCATGTCCCCCACTCCATCCCCACCCCACCCCAGGAACGCCACACAAACTCTCAAAATAAACATGGTGCTAATATGAGAAACAGAGTCTTAAACCCTTGGTACACTATTCAGGTCTGTTTGGATACTCGTGGGGACACAGCCAGGGTGGGGGCAGCAAAAATAAAAACGGAGGAATAGAGAGTGAAGAAAGGAGAACAGATGGAAGGGAAGGCAGGCAAGTCTGTGTCTTTTCGGTGCAGCCAAGGCACGCTGGGGCTGCCTCCTTGGTCCAGTGCCCTGAACTGCCCCTGACTGGGAGGGCTGAGTGGACACCCCACCTAGACCCGCCTCCCCACCTTTGGGGTCCACACTGCCTGAGCCACCCAGGCTGTCATTGCTGCCTTCCCCACCCTCTGCGTTGAAACCACCCATCGAGCCACTCAAGGGTGTCTTCTCAGGCCAGTCATGCCCATTTCATGTGGATGTGGGGCTTCGAGGCAGTTAGGGAAGAACGAGAAAGAGCAGGAATATTTTCCCAGAAGCTTTCTGGAAACAACGGGATCCACCCCCATGACCTGCTCCAAAGGCAATCTGTAGTCAAGACCAAGGTCTGCAACAGGTGATCCATGGCCAGCTGCTAGGGGGTAGGAGGTGTATTTTCCAGCCCCCATTCTCATTCTGCCCTATGTAGGGTTACCAGATTTAGTGACACCCAGTTTCAATTTGAATTTCAGATAAAGAACCCAATATAATAAATTTTTAGCATAAGTATGTTCCATGCAATATTTGGGACATACTTATACTAAAATAGTTATATGTTGTTTATTTAACATTCCAGTTGAACTAGATGGCCTGTATTTTATCTGGGAAGCCTATTATGGGAGCAGAATATGTGCTGTGAAGTTTATTGTTCCATATGGGAAGCAATTTAGCCTTGGCCTTTTTGACCCAATGTTCTAGCCACTTAGATGCCCGGTTCAAGGCAGGGAACACATAAACATGTGCACTGGATCCATGATTCTGAGATTGAATTCTGTGAATATGGACATAAGAGGGAGAGGGTTTCTCTACCTCCCATCACAATTTCCCTCCTCCTCCTGATTCCCACCAAAGCAAAGGGCAAAATCTGTTCTCATTTGCTGGTAGCCTCTGCCTGTGGCTGTAATGAAACTTCCTTGTCCCCGTTCTCAAGGAGCATGTTGGTGCCCTTGTCAGGAGGAAAAAAAAAAATCTCATTAACAATGGTAGCCTGCAGTCACAACTACCCTTAAAGGGTTCTATGGCCAATCCTTTAGAAGACCCCTTAACAGAGGGGTTGCATTCCTACAAAAATGAGGCAGCAGTTCTCCCAAGCACAGAATGGCTTAGCCAGGAAACAACTACCATCTCCCACTGTGCTTGTAAGCTGATTTGTTCCTGTATGCCTCTAGAGTTTCCAGAATAAAACTTTAATCTGTTTGGTACCCTCAAATGCACAAAAGCATTGCTGATGCCTCAGTAATGAGATTATTAATAATAATAGTTTGATCAGTTTCTCTGCAAATACCTTTGTCCTGAGAATCAAGCAGCCTCCTGGTTATTTGACAGCCTCAAAGACAGGAGAAAATTATCAGAGCTGCAAAGCAAGCAGTGTATTTTTGCAAAAAAAAAAAAAAAAAGTATTCAGACCCTGGGCTCCCTTTAGAGTAAAGGGGTCACTGAAATTCACTCGAGTAATACGGCATTCCTCACTGACAGCTTGAAAGAAAGCTGCTATTTGTACACTTCATTAGGGGAACTTTCCAAAGCTGTAATTCTTGAACAGTTGCAACACACAAGGAAGATATCCACATAGATATAGCCTTAATTTAATCCTCCTGTCATTAAAAAAAACAATGTCAAACACACACTGGTATTTTCAGAAGAGAATGTCTCTAAGGTCTCTGGTGTACACAAGGACAATAGAGGCTGTGTTTAGTCTACACAGAATCGACAACAGAGGCTTTCTATGTCAGTTGACTTCATCCTCAACAACCCTCAAATCTCTATTAGCAATACCAGTAATCATGTGTAAAAGTAATAATCCACCGACACCATTTATTTACCCTGGAAAGTGGTCCTTCGCTTAACAATGTGCATTAGAGCCTACTGTGTGCAAAATAGCAGGCCCTATGATGAGTTATGAAGAAAGAAGAAAGCAGAATTTTTGCTAATGAATGTATCTAGTCACTTAGGGGAGCCAGGCCACTCCAGGGAATATACTAGGGATACAAACAATAAACTGAACACAAAACCAATTACATGAATACTGAGAAATGACTGGATAGACTATGGTGACCCAGCCCAGGTGGGTTACAGTGTGAGAATTCACCAGATGGTGAGCTTCTTGAGGATAGACAATGGCTTCCTTGGTTTCAAATCTCCAGCATCTAGCCCAGTGCTTGGCACTTGGTATCCAATAAATGTTTGCACACCGAGGAATATATTTAGTAAATGAATAAAATAATGCATGCATGCATGCATGAAGGAATGGGCTGCTTTAATAAGAATTTTGAACAAAATTCTTAAATAACTATTGGAGAAAATACTTATTTTTTAAATTAGTGTTGGAGAAAGGGAGTGAGTTCCAAGCAAGAGAAATTGCACAAACAAAACAACTCAGGAAACCTGAATTCTCTCCAGGGCCGTGATTATGCCCATGCCACCGCAGTCTCACATAGCCCACCCTGGCAACTCATCCTTGGATTACAGTTCCTAAGTTGTTCTTCAGCCTGATCCAAACCCCTAAATCAACATCCTAATTCCCTAAGCATATCCTATATCAGAAACTACCGAGATATCTCATCATGGTTTAGTAGATTCAAACCCCCAATTACAGAACTTTCAACCAAATACTTGTTTTCAATCTGCAGCAAAGTCATCCATGTTGATAAAATTCAGAACCAAATTAGTATTATAAAAAGGGCAACTAATGGGAAACTAAGGGCAAACTTCTGTGCAAATGTTGAAAGGCAACAACAATAAGAGGAGTATTGAAAGGTAGCATACACTCATTTTTTTCAGGAAAAAGAGAAATTTTATACCCTCCACAGAGGAAGTTTGGACTAATGAGCCATAACAGTGCTCAAAAATATATCCATCAGTCAAGAAACACCCCGCTACCATTTCCAGGGGTAAATGGACTCAGGAGTCACCAAACCACATGCTAATCTCTGGACTCCACTAGATAGAATCTGCCCAGAGACCTAGAACCAGAGTCTGCCCCCTAAACTCCTCTCCTCGTCCCCTGACTACCGACCGCATTGAGGCACATCTTCACTTCAACCCCACATCAACATCTGAGTTTTCCCTACTTCTTGGATATTTTAAATCACACAGTTGCCCCTCAAAGGCAGGATAAGTTGGTTTCTCCAACCAAAAGTAAAGAGTTTCCTCTTCTTGCTCATCTGCCCCATCGCAGAAGCCTCTGCTGGCCTCACATCCCACCCACCCGAGTTTTGTATCCAGGTTCCCAGTGAGACCAGTCTTCTCCCTAGTTAGCTGCACATGTCCAGCCCCCTACACCTGTCACTGTGAGAAAGAGGCAAACTCTTTCTGCATCTATGGGACGTTGTCACCTGGAATTCACTTCATTGTCACCTGCAACTACTCAGCATTTTCAGATTTAGCCATAACTTGTACTTTTCTGTTTCCGTTACTTCCCTGCCCCGATCTTCTCAAATCCTGGGTTACGGACTGGATGTTTGTGTCCCTCCCCACCAAAATGCAAGGGTGAACCCCTAATCCCCATGTGATAGTATTAGGAGATGGGGACTTTAAGAGGTGATTAGATCATGAGGGTGACACATTCATGAGGGAATT